GAAAAACCCGTTTGATAATCCCCTCAAACGAGACCCGTTACCATTCTGATCATTCACCCCGTATGACAATGTTCCATGACATCCCTTCGAGGCTGTTCCTATGGCTGACATTACCGAATTAGTTCGAATACTTTACACTACGTCGCGCAAGACACACAAGTCTTTCTCGTATTTAAAACTCGGCCTCTAAACCTATAAGAATGCTTAGGGTCGGCTGAAAAGCATACTTACCTGGCGTAGAGGTTACCGTGATCACGAAGGCGGTTCCTCCAGGGCGAGGCTCTTCCATTGCACTACGGCTTGAGCTGACCCTTGCGAATATCCCTAATGTGGATATCTCGGACGTAAAATTTTTGGTAGTCGGGACTGCGTTCGCGCTCTCCCGGATAATACAATTCCAAAAGTAAATCCACTGCAAAAGAGAGCAGTCCCCGAACTCTCTTATATATAAGATATCCCATCTAGAAGTAGAATTCTATTTGTAACTGTTAATAATATTTGGAATAGTAAAGTATTATTAAAATAAATGTGACATTAATTTTCTGTCCCTGTGCAAAATATAAGATGAAGGTCGAAATATTTAAAGTGATGTCTTACAAGATAGTCAGATATGATGTAACCAACATTTATTATATGTCCATTTCTACAAATGTAGATTAATTTTAATGTTGTTTTAATTTAGATTCTATTTTTTTAATTGATAGAGTTAAAAAAGATGAAGAATATAAATTGCTTCTTTTTACTTATGCCTTACATTATTCCAACATTAATAACATGTGATTCTCGGTTAATAGTAAATCCAAAGAAAAATCTTTTTTATTTTAACAAATGTTTGATATATTTATATGTAAATATTTAATATCTTAAATATAAAAATACATAATAAATTTAAATAAAGATTTATGTAATTTGATAATATTATGTATATCTTGCGTTTTGTAAGCAAGTTTTTATTTTTCCGTTTTATTTTTTCATTTAAAAATTCTAAAGTCTCTTCAATTGTTAATCTTATAAATACATTATCAACTATTGAAACCTAATTTGATATTGATACTTTTATTTTAAGATTTAAAATTTTATATTGACAGATCTTTAGAAACATTCAAATTGATTATTTTTAAAAACAATAAAAATGTGAAAACGATTCAGGATCCACGAGCTTTTTTCTTCTTCAAAGATTTCATTATAAGGCCTATTCTAATTACTAGATGAAAATTAGACATAGAGCATGAACACAGACAAGGCGAGGTTTAAATTTAAGCTCACTTTATGTCTCTCGTAATTCCATCCAGAATGTTCTTTCTACGCAAAGTACGCGTCCGCAACGACGCACGTGCGTGAACGCGATCGCGTGGATACAGTCCGTGAAAATTCTCCGGCTATTTTAAGGAGCTCGAAGCGAGAAGAAAACAGAGAAGAAAGAGGGGCTCGCTGCGATTTGCACGCAAGCGTACGGATAGGCTAATAACTCTCTTAATTGAACGCTATTTTCTAATTAACGATCGACGCGCGCTCGAGCAAATCGAATTTAGCTTGACGTCACGGGCGTCGAGTGATAATCGACACGTTCGTAAGGTCGCTTCGCTTCGTGCACCGAGTGCTTGAACTGAAAGCCTTCGATGTGCATCTCCATTTTCTGCCTTCTTGCAGATATGAGAAGGAGTAATTAATGCTCGAGTAATTAATGCTTAGCTTAACCCTCGGCTATCGTAATATTCCACTCATATAGACTGCCAACTTCAAGTAATATTTATTTTTCATTGCCTATGCGATATTTCTGAGAGCGAGAAATTATGATAATTAGCCTGAATGAATTTTGATTGGAGAAAAAGTGCAAAACGCACTTTTTGGGTAAAAACAAAGTGTGTTTTGTTACACAGAAAGATTTCTTTACATCTTTATTCAAACAAATATAATGTTTCACTTAAAATAAAATAGTAGTAACAATTAATAGAACATTAATCATAATGAAATTGTTTGAATTATATAATAAAATTGTTGAAATTAAATGCGACAGTTTTTCTAAAAAAATTTTTCTTTCGTGTAGTATTTTATTATTTATAATAATTAAAATATTATAAAAGTATTTATTATTTGAAAAACAGTTGTATTTGTTGATTCAAGCAATGAATCGATTGGATTATTCCAAAAAATAATTTTTTTTAAATTCAAACAAATTTATTAAATCTAAATAAATATATATTAAATATATTTTTCTCTGCACATCGAGATCCTTCTTCTGACATTAAAACAAAATTATTATATAATACATCGTATTAATCTAAGACTTAAAAAAATGAATAGAATTAGTGGTAAATCACTTTGTGACGTGAGTACAAAGTCCAATAAAACTCTTTGCGGTTTATAAGGAAAGTCTGTCACAAGCATGATTTTTATTAATAGCATTTTAACAGAGTGTCATAGTTAGCAATAAAAAAACGAGCCGTCTCCTCTTTTGATCGAAGTTTCCGCTCAGCAAATGGTAGACTCGTCTTACGCGCAAAGTGGATCGTCGATTTCTCCCTCCCCCCCCCCCCGTTTCGGACCTCGTCATTTGCATAATTGGAAATATTTCCTTTTTCTTCCTCGGAATAAGTTCCAAACGAGGCTCGGCAGGACGAGCGCGGATGAGGATAATTGATGCTCCAGCAGATTTATTCGCGATACTTCGGCGCTGCTAAATGCAATTCCTGGCGCGTCTAGCTCGTGAATCCGCAAGACAGACCTCTCGCGAAAGCGAAGAAGCGCCTAGGGATCCGGATTTCTCATCGGTGCCAATCATTTATGTGACGCAGAAATTCCCTTCGCGAATTGTCTGGCTAGGACGTAGAAGCGAGATGAAGGATCGATTCGACGCGATCGTTCGTCACTTCGCGACAGATAATCTTAATCGAAAGCGCTGACGCATGGATTCTGTATATACAGCAGACTACATATACATGTTATATATTGTGTTATAATACAATTTTATAATGAAGTGCACAATCTACTCGGCTGTACATGACAACTAACGATTTTTAAATAAATAAAATTCTTTGGTGTCTAACACATTGACTATCGGTTCGATCGTAATTAATTACAAGTTAATTTCCCCAAGGAAGATTACGCAAATAATATATACACGCAAATCGTGAAACTGCATCCACACGAAATGATAGCCGATAGATAAATTAATCCTGTAGATATCCATTTCAACGTTAATTTCGGAAATCGATGCTTCATTACGACGATATTGTTCGCCGAGAATGCAGCGGGCATTGACTGGACCATTCAACGTTCGTCAAACAAAAAGAGATTGATCCACTCAAAAATGCGAAGAGGCACTCGTGCCTAAAAGCACTTGTGAATCGGTATGCGGTTCAATTACACGAAAGAAACGTGGCGCAAATTAATGGGAAGCGAAGCGTGGACGGGGGAGAAAGAAACGCGACATTGATACGAGAATGAAATAATGTCGTTGAACTTCCTTCTTGGGGTATATTTTTGTCGACAAACTAATTATATCAATTGTCGACGAATTGATGAAGCGACAGCAGATGAGAAAGTTCATTCACTTATTGCAAAACATAACATTTTTAAAACCCATTTCCACTATTGAAAAATAAACGAAAGAGCTTGTTTTTAAAAAAATAATATCTATTATTAACAGCAGACTATTCTTTTGCTATTTTGAGCTGCAATGTTAGCTGTAATGTTAAATAATCTAATGTTCGAAGATAATGAATATGCCGTCTATGATAAAACAGCGCCTTGTACGCAAAGTGTTGTATCAATATTTGGACACCTTGTTAGTCTGATGATGAAGTTGCTTTTCAGCAACGTATGCTCATACATTCCGACGGAGTGAATCATGTTGGATACATTTTTCATTGTAGTTGAAAGAAAGCTTGTTGTCGCATATGTTTGTAATAAGTTATAAAAGTGCATTTAACTTTTTAATTCCTGATAATTCTTAATAAATTATTAAACTATTGAAATATTACTTAATATACTTTTCTTATATATAAGCGTGACATATACATTAGATATAAATATTTGCAATTCGACTATTATTATTATTATTATTATTTTATTGTTAATAATAGAAACTGGCTTTATTGAATATAAAGTCATCAGGAAAAATTAATTGAATTTAACTTTTAGAGGCGAGTAAATTTCAATTTTTAGTCAATTTATATTTTTACTGAAACAAACTACGGAATTACAATTTGAAAATATGTGAAGATACGAAGTCATGAATTTTCACGTTGTCACGCGGCGACTTTTAATTGCGTTTACATAAGGAAAAGCGATACTTGTTTCGAGCGCGACGTCGGGCAACGACCTCCGACATTGACCGAGGTCATTTCACCTCCGCAGCAAAGCGAGGCACATCCGCGCAACGCATCGTTTTTCAAAGACTGCTTTTGCTTTCTTTCTCCTCACACGCCACCGAACCCGTCCTCGCACCCTTCGTGAAAACGATCCCTCGCCGTCTAAGAGTTTCCCTTCCGCGGAAAAACATGCTGCGGGAAAATCCCCGGTTTCTTTACTCTCGGCTTCCTCCTTCGTCTTCTGTCCTCCTCCGTCGGGACCGACCATGTTTTATGGATGCACTTCGAGCCCTCTTACGACGCCGTCGTTCTTTGAATATTTATTCGTTTATTTATTTCCGAATTGCCAGAAGCCTGCTGGTATAAGATAGTACGATTCTTACAAGTCATTACTTTCTATTATTAACTATATTGTTCGCACTTGCTGTAAAATATTGCATTATGTACAAATATCACTTCGTGTAACACTTAGACAATAATAACAAAACATTTGATTTTTTTATATATTTTCCTGGAAATACTTTTTTTGTTTATTACAATAACAATAACAATAAGGTGAAGCTACTTGCTGCAATGAAGCCAAGCCTCCATTGGCTGCAATTCACAATCGCTGCAACAAATATGTAAATGGACGTCTGATTTGGAATCACTCATCTGTAGAAGTCGACTGTGAATTATTCCGGAAGTTGAGCGTTCGACGATGCGGATAAAGGCGATCTCGTTGGCAGAATGTTGGCGGGATGTAGGTCATAGAAAGCTGCACGAGGAAAGTGACCCGCGATTTTAATTTAAACCATTGATTTATTCATGCAAGTTAGGACGGAAAAGGGCAAGCCTTCCTATATTTTTGAAACAAAAGGCTTAAATCAAATAATCAAAGCTTAAATCAGAAAATAAATTATCTCGCGTGTATAAAATATATAAACAAAATAAATAAAATTTATATTTATATGTGTAGATAAAATGAAAAATAAAATTATAAAAAAATACGAAATTTTTATGCATCCATGTAATATGAATAATATGTATACAAATATAATAGTAAAAATAATTCTCTGTTACACAGTAATAATAGTTTATTAAAATATTTTTATATACATTCAAAATTTTTTAAAAGATTTATTTTCATATAGAAACTATATATATATATATATATAATATATATATATATATATATATATATAT